GACAAAGATTTGTCCTGACTGTGGGCAAGGCAGGAAAACTCTAGCTACAGAAAATAGTCGGCTTTTATCTCTAATAAAGCAAGTGCTAGCCAGTGTTTTATCATTACATTGTATTTCACCATGGAGTTTCCATTATCAAATATTTTTTAGGGACTATCTTGAGAAAATCCTCTATTAACCTCTGTGCTGGTTAGCTTTTTGTCTACTACACAAAAATGAGGTCCTCTGGGAAGAGGGAACCTCAACTGAGACTATGTCTCTATCACATTAGCCTGTGGGGCATTTTCTTGATTAATGACTGATGTGGCAGAGCTCAGGCCACTGTGAGGTGCCACCCCTGGGCTGATGACTCTGGGTTGTTAGGAAAGGAGACTAAGAAGTCGGGGGCAGCAGTGATTAAGCAATGCTCCTCCGTGGCCTCTCCTTCACTTACTGCCTCCAGCTTCCTGCCTTGAGTTCCTTCTCTGACTTCCCTTCATGAGGGAAAGTTGAAATAAACCCTTTCCTCCCCCAGGTGCCTTGGGTCGTGATCTACGGCTGCAACAGAAACGTAACTGAGACAAATACTCATCTCACCACCCGGAAGAACACAGATCAGTGCGGACAAGGACAGCTCTGTCCATCTCACCAGGTTGATCAGTCTTCTCATCGCATGTTCGTGAGAGCAAACACATTCACAGGGGTCAAATCCACCTTCCGCCATGGTTACCCGCTTGATCTTACTCAACTAGTGAAATCTAGGAAGAAAGAAAACACAGTTAAGAGGACCGCTGAGCTTCTCATTAGCTACGAAAAGTTCATACACTGCATGGATTCACAGTGCTTACTTACGCTATGTCTAGTCCACAGTTACTAATGGCGTATGCCTTCGGAAACTATTCCTACTATGTAGTAATCACAATCTTATCATATGAATTATGAACCTATACAAGCTACTGGCTCCTTCTGCAACCAGCACAACTTTCTATAAAGTAAGTATCTTTGGGCGCTCTAACAGGCCCTGCCTCTGATGCTATGGCCTATTTTACTCAATTACTTAAATTCCTAAACTTTATTTGCTACTGAAATAAAAATTTAAAATTTAAAGCAACTTTTATACTATCAAGAAAGTAGACTGTCTCAGTACAGTGGCACATGCCTGTAATCCCAGGATTTAGGAGGCTGCAGAAAATGTAAAACCAGCCTGAACTACACAAGTCTGAAGCTAGCCTAGGCTACATAGTTAGAAAAAAGAGGGTTGGGATGCAGAGAAATGGCTCAGTACTTAGGAGCACTTGTGACTCTTCTAGAGGACCTGAGTTCAGTTCCAAACATCCACACTGGGCAGCTCAGAACTGTCTGAAATTCCAGTTCCTGGGGATCCAATACCCTCTTCTGGCCTCTATAGGCTACTGCATGCATGTGGTACATGTAAACTCATGCAGATACACACATATACATATATAAAAATTTAAGCCGGGTGGTGGTGGTGGTGGTGGTGGTGGTGGTGCATGCCTTTAATCCCAGCACTCAGGAGGCAGAGGCAGGCGGATCTCTGTGAGTTCGAGGCCAGTCTGGCACTAGCAGGGGAAAAGACAGACTTGCTTCTATCCTGGACAATCCATCACAAGTGTAAACACAGCTCTTTTCAAGTCTGCCTTTAAATTTTTTAACAAAATTGGATGTGATCTGCCTCTCCTCCCAAAGAATCCATCCTAGTCACTACCACTGTCAACCCCACCCTCACTGCTTCAAGCCACAGCACTCACTGAAAAAATACTTATGGAATTCTTTTTATTTTTTTTTTTAAGATTTATTCATTTTATTGTGTATGAGTGCTAGATCAACTTTATATCCCAAGAGGGCATCCCACTATAGATGGTTGTGAGCCACCATGTGGATGCTGGGAGTTGAACCCCAGTCCTTGGGAAGAGCAGTCAGTGCTCTTAACCATTGAGCCATCTCTCCAGCCTACGGAATTCTTGATAATGTTTATACTTTTATGTGCCAGATGGACTGGGGTCTTAAGTTATGCTCATCTTGGTGAGCTTCTACAGATGAAAATGAGTATTTTCAAGCTAGGACACTCCTTAGCAGTTCCACAGTTCTACAGAACTTTCTGCAGGTGAACAAGCTATTTTCAGTTCTATTCCATTTTCACTTGACAGTTCCCATCTTAAAATAACCTTTTTTTTTTTTTTTTAAGATTTATTTATTTATTATGTAGTGTTCTGTCTGCATGTATGCCTGCAGGCCAGAAGAGGGCGCCAGATCTTATTACAGATGGTTGTGAGCCACCATGTGGTTACTGAGAATTGAACTCAGGACTTTTGGAAGAACAGCTAGTGCTCTTAACCTTTGAGCCATCTCTTCAGCCTCTTAAAATAACCTTTTTTGCCAGATGGTGGTGGCACATGCCTTTAATCACAGCATTCGGGAGGCAGAGGCAGGTGGATCTCTGTGAATTTGAGGTCAGCCTGGGCTACAGAGTGAGTACCAGGACAGCCAGAGCTGCACAGAGAAACCCTGTCTGGAAAAAACAAACAAACAAACAAACAAACAAACACCTTCTTCTCTTTTAGTGGAAAGGAAACAGTTGGTTAGGAAGCAAGACTGTCAACATGCAACCGAAGCTGAACAAGGCAACCGATTCCACTTCACATTTGCTTCAGAGACACTATGAAGCTGCACTGTGCTGGGCAAGACTTAACAAGGCCACTGAGTCAGATGCTGGGAATCAGCCTCAAAGAGGCTTTGATGGAGGCATTTAAAACTGCTTCCTCGCCTTTCCTGTTGCTAAGGCTGTCTGCCTCTTTAGCAGCCATCCTTGAAGTTAGGCAACGGTGCCACATCAAAGGAATGGGCCTAGTCCTTGGGGACTGGCCGACTTCACCCCTTGTTTCCTAACGATGTGCAAACAGGGAGACTTGCCGAGCATGCAGGCTTTCATCTCCAGAACCTCATAAGCAGGAAGGGCATGGCGGCACATGCCTGGAAATGCCAGCAGTCCTCGGGGCCATCAGAAATTCAAGGTCATCTTCACAGGAGATGTCTTGTCTCCAAAAATGCATGCAAGTGGTCACAGAAGACCTAAGTCATAAAGACACACACTAGGTCTAGGGAGATGGTTCAGTGGCTAAGAGCACTCACCCTCTTGTAGAGGGCCCCAATTAGTTCCCAGCACCCACAACTACCTGTAACTCCAGTTCCAGAGGACCCAATGCCCTCTGGCCTCCATGGTCACATAAATTTCAAAGGCACACGCACATATACATAGATCAATAAATCGTTTAAAAAGTTAAAAACACACTCTAAAAATTTCAGGATAATCTAGGGAAGTTGAAGGAATTACACATGGGCATTATTAATAAAAGTGGTGCTGAGCAGACAATGATCTCAGCTAATAGCTACCTCGGAAGACCCTACTCTTAGGTTTAAGCATTTGGAAATATCTCACACTAACCATTTACCTTACAATGTCAGTACTTTCCTATGAAGTTAGCATTCGTGACAGAATCTGACGGAAGTATCTGCTAAACAACAACGGTTTATGTGGTGCGAAGGAAAAATCAGGTGTACAGAGCAAGCTCTCAGGCCCACCTCCTCCCCGACAATCTGTAGTAAGGAAAAGCAGCTCATGCCCGGGCTGGCTGCCAACAAGCCAAAGGCAGCAATCCTCACTGCTGCCGAGCTGGCCGGCCTCTCTGGCCTTTGACAACAGTAAGTCGGGGAGTCCTGCGGTTTCTGTAGCTAGTGAGGAAACTCCCCAGTGTTGCCCATCGGTTTACAATCTACCACTAGAAACAAACACTATGTGGGTTCAATTCGCCCGATTTCACCTTGGGGACAAGGTCAAATTCAATGGCCTATTTGCAACCGTGGAGGTTAGGCAAGAGGCGTGTGATTCCACTGCAGTGTGAATTTTGAGAATGATGCTTACAGCCAGGATTCGATTGCTCGGAGAAATAAAACTGAAGCAGTTTGTGACTCGGCCAAATGCTCTTAGCAGTCCCGTTACAGTCTCAGACGGACTGATTTCAGTGGCCCCGGAGGTACCAGAATAACTGTCTGGTAGGAATAATTCCTTATCTTTTTACACTTTTTTGTTTTGGTTTGGTTTTTCTGAGACAGGGGTTTCCTGGAACTTGCTCTGTAGCCCAGGCTGCCCTTGAACTCACAGAGATCCGCCTGGCTCTGCCTCTCGAGTGCTTGGAGTAAAGCATGAGCCACTGCTGACTGACTCCACAACTTTTGATATGAAACCTGGACACCTGAATGAACAATTTAGGCCTTCCTTAATTACAAACTTGGCTCCTAGGGCCTTGTCACTTTTTAAAAAACACCGCAACACTCATCTTTATGTCCAGACATTTACCAGTTGTCTTTTCCTTCAGAGCTGAGGATGTGGCCCAGGGCTTCAGAATACTAGGCAAGAACTCAAACACTGGACCACCTATAGCCCAGGCTGTGCCACTTTACCAATAGCACAGGGTATATCCTCTAATTATAGAGTAAGAGAGTCCCACAAACAATAGTACCCTAGTATGTGAGCATAATCTATTGTAAAAACTCTTGGCCAGGGGCTGCAGAAATGGCTCAGCAGTTAAGAGCACCGACTGCTCTTCCAGAGGACCAGGGTTCGATTCTCAGCACCCACACAGCAGTTCACAACTGTCTGTGACTGAAGTTCCAGGGGATACAACACCCTCACACATACATATAAAAAGGCAAAAACACCAAGGCATATAAAATAAACAATTTAAAAACAAAACAAAAACTCTTGGCCAGGACACATTATCTTAAGACGTCCAATCTCACCCAATGGGGTCTCTTCTCCATGTTTAATTCTACATTGAAACGGCTACTTTTCTTTTTGAGGCAAGGTCTCAGTATGTAGCTCTAGATGGCCTGGAACTTGAGAACTGCTTGACTCTGCCTCCTAAGTGCCTCCCCAAAAATATATCCTTTGTTTTTCTTCCCTAATTTTACTGACACTGAGCATCTTGTCAGGTTTATCACCATTTATATTTCTCCTTTTTCAAATTCTTTTGTCTTACTGATTCCAGGGTTTTTGTCTGTTTGTTTTAGTTTTGGAGACAGGGTTTCCATGTGTAGCCCTGGCTGGCCTCAAACTCACAGAGATCCTCCTGCCTCTGCCTCCTAAGTGCTGAGATTAAAGGCATTCCCAGAGGTATTTCCTATTATTCGCTTTTAATCACCTGTCATGTAAAATTAAGAATTTCTTCTAGCTAGGTGGCCCATGCCTTCAATCCCAGCATTCAGGAGGCAGAGCCAGGCGGATCTCTGTGAGTTCGAGGCCAGCCTGGGCTACAGAGTGTGTTCCAGGAAAGGCTCCAAAGCTACACAGAGAAACCTTGTCTCAAAAAACAAACAAACAAGAATTTCTTCTATAGGGCTGGAGAGGTGGCTCAATGGGTAAGTCCTTGATGCTTTCCTATAGGATCCAAGTCTGGTTTCCAGAACCCATGTCCAGTGGCTCACACTTGCCTGTAACTCCAGCTCCAGGACTCCTATGTCCTCTTCTGGCCTCCATGGAGACTAATGCGCGCGCGCACACACACACACACACACACACACACACACACAGAGAGAGAGAGAGAGAGAGAGAGAGAGAGAGAGAGAGAGAGAGAGAGAGAGAGAGAGAGAGAGAGAGAGAGAGAGAGACACTGAAAAAATAACATTAAAAATAAATTATTTAAATCCCAGCACTTGGGAGGCAGAGGCGGACAGATGTCTG